GGGAGAAATATTTCTATGGCCTACATTTATTTCTCTCGTGAGTTTGGGTGTAATTTGTGGTTGTCCACCTAGGTGTGTCCATGGCACCCGCGATACAGGGCTTCCCTAGTGCGGGGCTATGAGTGTGTGCGTGTGCGTAATCAATAATAATAATAAACATTATTTATTATTTTACTAAAATATTAACTGAGTGGTCATTTTCATTACAGAAACATACTTTCTAACAAGTTATTTTTCTGGTTATTGTCTGATTGCCTGTTGTCGAGTTATTTAAGATTTTGGTGTAGGTAAAAAAAGTTTATTTTACATATTGATAGCAGCAATTGTATGATTACCGCGTTCCTGACGCTAGATAAGCATGTATCGTGGGGTACCATACAGTCGATTTACATCGTATTATTAAAAAAAATGATCTGTGTTTTCTTAATAGAATTAAAGCTAGTACTGACGCCATACATAATATATTTTATTTATAGTTATAAACTTACAAGCTATAACATAAATGGTTAAAAACGTTGTGGCTACCTATGGATACGACGGAGAAGTGGCAGTCATACCCATTATATAATTGTATTCAGGTATCCTATATTCTTACTTTTGGTTAGGAAATGTGGAAATTAAAATAAAAAAGAAACCCGACACAAGTCAGTGTTACCATCTAAGCCAATTTACTCATTGAGACTATTTTAGAATAATATAAAAACCATTTATTCATCACCATAACACAAAAATACACAGAATGTAAAAAGTAAAAAAATAATATAAAAAAAAACAGCGAGGCAAAACATATCAACTTTTAAACAGTCAATTCACAATATTTCTCAATTAATAAATGTCATGTGTGCGGCTGTGGCGTTTACAAAAAGGTCCACTCAGCTAATGTTACAGCCGAGTACAGACTGAAGCGCTTAATTTCATGAATCCAAACACGGTAGTTCCACTGGAAGGAGTTTTGTTGAGGAGTTGTGTAGTCTGCAGACCGTCCTGATTCGAATTCCAAATGCAGTGTTCTACTTCGTAGTACTCCAGAAATAATAAAATTATCCCGTTTGACCACTCACCTATTTTCCAAATTTATAAACACGTAAAGTTACAACTCCTAGATTTTTAATAGTTGTTTTTAATTTCATTCCACAAAAGGCAAAATTTTAATACCAAACAGCCATGTCTATTAAAGACAGTACAGCGTCATTTAAAAACAATATTATACGGCATATACATCAACCTAACGTAGCAGAAAAGAAACGTCTATTTGTCGGCAGTTGTCATAAATACCAACTAGCACAAACATGTGGATACATGGCAAGCGCTTGCCGCAAGCTTCCTTTGATTAGTGCACAAAAACCATAATGCGCTTAAAGTAAGTAAGACTCTAAAGATATTAATGATCCGATCGAATGTTAGACAAGTTAATTTTTTTTCTTTTGTATATTTTTGCCTGTATCCTCTTTCTTGGGTTTGATAGAGAGTGTTGTGTTTTTCATTTTGTTTTTTAAACATTGGTTCACATAGTTACGTACTAAAATAAAAACGTTGTTTCCAGAAAACGATGAAGCGCCGTCTTTATTTACGCATCATAGTGCCGTTGTTATATACATACTTGTTTACTGGTTGCGTATTTGCATTATGTTGGATTAGTTTCGTGCTTCATACTTTATGTGAGATCGAAACTTTGCCCAAGCTTTCCTCTTCGAATACAACCGATACAAGGTATTCTACTTGTTGTAATTTTTAAGATATTGTGCATTTGGCCTCCATATCACCTGATCTTTTTATCGTATCGATCGTATAGACTATAATGTATGCCATCGTGGTGAAATTATTTGCCAATGAGCGTAAGGTACTTGCAAATTGTTGCCCAGGATACTACAGGCATAAGAAATGGTACGACGTGCGGGGAGGGTAAATTCGTATAGCACGGGGTGCATTTGTTGGAAAGTCACGACGAGGTCGACGATGGAGCATACACGCTTAAATAACGCCTATTCACTCTCGCTTTGAAAACTTCAAGCGTTCGGAGAATAAGTGTACAGAGAGGGGATTCTACTCCATAGCCGTTCGGTATATAAATATGGAACGGCTTGTACGAATCCTTGGATTATCTACAACGTAGAAATGGAGCCCCAGCCTTATCGCAGGTTCACATCCGGCTCGAAGGGCCACTTGTACGGTCTCTGTACAAATTTTAGGTAATCCTAGCTAAGCTTTTGACACGAGTAGTAAGTTGAAAGAGAAAATTAAGTTACTTTTAAGAACGGCTGATAAATGTACATTGAAAGTTTCCGTAAAAAAGATGTGCTATGTATTTATAACATAAAGAAACTGCTTAATATCAAATGTATGTCTGAAGTCTTATTTTTATCAGAATAACACGAATAACCTAATCAATATTTAAATACATTTCCAAATTTAGAATTCGTTACCTGTGCCTTTCTTTGTTCCGTAGGGAGTATTAGGGTTCCAATTTAATTTTATAGCTTCATGATCGCACCATAATTTAGGTTCCATTTTTATTGTTTATTTTAATATTACCATGGCTTCCTATAATAATACAACAATAATATGCATTGACTTACAATTATATGGACGTCGGGTCCGCGCTAAAAAGTGTCCGAACTTATAGGGCGTTAAAATCGTATACAGAGCGTCATTCACGCTTTAGTCTTCGTTTGTTCGACTGACAGCGAAGCAAGCAGAATTAGACAGTACTGCGATGACATTACAATTTAAATTCAACGTTTTAGCTTTTTCATATTTCTTTACATGTCACTAGGTTTAAATAGGTTGACTTGGGACATTTTTTTCGTGGTTTTTGTATTAGACCCGTCGTCCATTTATTTGTAAGTCAATGATAATATTATAAAATATGATGACATTGACAGGAGAAACATAGAGATTTATTTAGAAAAATCACTGGAGCTAGATAATGGTACGGTTTGTCAGATACCACAACTAAATCCATTTTCGCCCGAGATAATGAAGTTTGACAAGAAACTGCCTCAAATCGTATGCACACAACAAGCTTGGGTCAAATGCCACGTAAGTTTCAATGGCTATTATTGACGTTCAATCTCGCTAAAACGGACTTTTTTTTGTAAAAAAGTTAAACATGTAAAGTCGCCATCGGGCGCTTGTCGACGTTGGATTTGTGTCAAAAAATATCCCCTACACCTCACCTCCTAAAACGTAGGGTCTAAGGTAGGAAATATCTTGCCTTGAACCTCTCTCCTGAAAATTTGTCATTTTGCAGAAGTGGCCTTATTAATACCAAAGGGTGCAAATTAATTTAGTGTAGAGTTATTGAGCTACCTATCTTTTTTCAGCTATCCAAATGCCAGGTTATACCAAGTATATTAAAATCAGTTCCCTACGTAAAATGTACTTACCGTAACATCATCTATCTTGATGATGCTCTTTACTACGTTTCTAAGATGATGACTGACATCGAAGGAGCCGGTGTTTACGTTCTCGAAGATTCCGATCACGTTATGGTTAATTGCTCCGGAATCTATAGGTAAGTGCACATTTGAGTCTTAGTCTTTTTATATAATACCAAGTGACGGGACGCACAAGTCGTGCACCTGGTGGTAAGTGACACGCGTATCCATAGCAGTTGCAGTGCCACTCAAAGCTTCATAATAATAAGGCACACACTCACAACCCCGCACCAAGGAAACCCTGTATTGCGGGTGCCATGAACATACATAGGTAAACAACCACAAATTGCATCGCCATACAAATATTTCTCCCGACCTGGGAATTAAACCCAGTACCAGCGTGGTATCCTAGGGGCACTGCCACTGCGCCTGTCACTCTGTGGACAAGTCGTATGTTGTGATTTCACCAGCACCTATCGTTCCAAACGGAGCGTAGTATAATGCTTACATTACCGCTTCGCGGCAGAAATATGTAGGGTGGCCATACTTTTCTGGAAAAACACTTTCAGAAGGATCTATATTGCTACAAAATAATACAAAAAAAAAATCCGACAGTCTCAACTGACTGCACGTTTGGTATTGTAGTAAGATTTATTCGCATTTTGTATCCTCATTTTTAATCGTAACTCTGAAAAAGGCTAAAATCCCATCTTATATCTAGATAACTCTACAATACAAAGGAAGTGGTTTATATCATATAAATGCCCGTGGATATAAATTTATTCCTCATTAATATGAAATATAAGTAATTTTTCCTTGTAATATTATTCAGATACTGATCATAAGTTAAAATTATTTTCTGAACTTCGACAAAATATGCGTGTTAATAGATGGAATATTATTTTTCTCTAAGTACTCCCACAAAACTTGTTTAATAGCTGGAAACCCCACTGGAATCGATACTAATATTTACTTGGAACACTTGATACTGGCGAAATCCTAAAACGGCACAATCAAAAAAAAAAGAAACTAATATAAAAATTAACGCGTTCTAAAGATGGCGCTAATCCCAAACAAAATAAAAAATGCTGACATTATGCATAAAAATCTGTGCAATAAGCGCCATCTAGTTGATTTGTTTGTTATCACTATACATTCGAGTAGCTTTGATCAATTGCAGCTTGTCAATGTAAAACAAATTTAGTTATATAATAGCTACTTAGTACTCGTCGCGACATCTAGTGCACCAATAGGCACACCAGGTGCTCACTACGAGGAAAAGGGAACCTAAGCACGCGCTCAGAGAGATGAAAATAACGCTGCCCACCGTGTGCAGTCGTGCGGACCCGAATGCTCATAAATGAAAGGCTTGTATGAGCGCTTGCGCCGATATCAGCGCACTCAGCGGTAGGTACCAGTAACCTTGATTGAGTGACGGAGCCCTGCTATGGATCTTAGAGATAGAAATAAATTGATTTTGTTATTATTATTTCAAACAATAGTTCACGTCTCTATGAGAAAAGCTGTCAGCGGGTCTTATTTTGATATTTAGTAGCTGAAACATTGCATCCTGTTTTAATAGGTACATAAGGACTTATTGGGAAGGGGTGGCAGCGGGATTCCGAAAGGCCGTCGAAATGCCCCCGCTTGTACCGCCGGGTAGAGAAGACACCGTCAACGTCTTAATATTTGCCTTCGACTCCTTGTCCAGAAATGGTTTCATCAGAAAAATGCCTGACAGTTACAAATTTTTAAAGTTTGTCTTGAATGCCACTATTTTAACCGGGTGAGTGTTTCATACGTAAAGGATATCAACGTTATATATTACGTCGGAAAATAACCGCCTTCAAATTATACTAAACACAAACTAAGATGATCTCTGTGACATTTCATTTGACGTTTGTCAGCAGAACGAGGTAAAGTCGATAGATTTTTAGTGTATTTGATTTTTTAAGCAATTGGTTCTCTATTATAGTTTTGTTTTTCTGACATATTCTGAACGATGTATAGATGTGTAAACTGTTTTGTATAATATTGAAGGCATAAAACACACATCTGCAATTCAAATGCAATTTCAATTGAAATTTTAGTAATTTTCTCAAAACATTTATCATATCGAACAATACTAATAACACTGATTAAAATTCATATTTAAAATTAATTTATTCGCAATACATTTTTTAATTAAATTATCCAAAACTTTTTATCAGGTAATGGACGTAACCTTTGTACGTTGTTGTAAAAAATTAATACATTTTTGATAAAATATGTTTTTCCGCTCATTTCTCACAAATGAACAGTGATTTCGTGTTATTTTTATTTTAGTTTAATGTATTTCCGTAAACAAACGCTATTCATTTAAAAACCAGGCTTATTAAAATCATTTATGAAAACATAAAGTAGTGCACGTTGTTACAAGGTTATATTTTGTAGATTTTTATGAACTGTCACAAGGATAATCCTAGATTATAGATGATCAAACAAACTTTTTGAAGTCAAGTTCGATTACTATTATGTGAGTCGCTTCATTCGAAGATATAATATTTAACCAGGTAGTTTCCTTAACTTGCTAGCCACGGTTTTTAGAGAAAAAAAAATGTTTTGACGTTGACACTCCCCACCAGGCATTAACCGCCATTTTCTATCCTCATTCCTTTTAGAGTGGGAAGCAAAACTTATTTGGGAGTTTCAGAATCTTTACTTCTGATATGACGGTGTCAAGGGAGGGAGGGTGTTGATTATATCTTCGAATGAAGCGACTCACATAATAGTGATCGAACTTCACTTCAAGAAGTTCGTTTGATCATCTATTATATTTCGTCGCTTCATTCTCGATATGATATTTAACCAGGTACACAGTTTTAGAGTGTTCAGTCTTGCTTCTAGTTGATTTTATGTAAATTAAAAACCAGAAGCTTAATCGATAACTATATTATATTTTTATTAAAAATATATATATATAGATATGAACATATAACGGTTTTTCTCCTGATATCACAATCATAACAATTTTTAAATCGTACAATCATATAATAATTTTATAAATAAATATTATTATTATTATTATTAATTTAGAATAGTATAATTTGCCGTTTTAAGCAAATGGTTCTTGCCAACGTGTGTTCGTCTTCAGTAAGTATTAGTATATTATAAAATCTAGTAAAGGATGTGAGATGTCGGAGTCCAACTCGCAGCCTTGTGTATGAGCTCTATCGGCACCTCAGCCGCGCGCGCGGTTGGCGTGGAGGCATACCGCGTGTCATGCGTGCCGAAAACTGATGTGTCGCCCGCCGTGCCGCATCCAACACCTGCAGTACACATCGGCTCACGGTTTGACTCGTGGCTACTCTGTGGGGAGCTCGTTGTGTCAGCAAGAGCGTTCCCTGACGTCCAGTTGTCTTATGTTGTGCTACCAAAATACAATGTTTGAAAGCTGCGACAAGGCAAATACTTGTATCCTCTCTAAAATATGAAAAATTTAATGTAGCCTGTACGCGACAAGGCGCAGACGTTTTGATTAAATCAGGTATTGCAATTTTAATCGGAATATCTGATATTTGTATGTTTTTCATTTTAATCAATGCCAATTTGTACGCGGTGTGCAGTACAAAGTGCAAGTAAAATAATATGTTTTTTTCGTAAGTTTTTCAAGATGAAGTTCTGTGTTGGGAAACCACGTTGAAACTAATGCGAGAACGACTTGGGGATTTCAAGTATTGCCATACTTTGGTGCACTGGGTTTCAATCTAAATGCGCCCTCAAGTAATCTTTTTATGTGGGTTTCAGACTATAAAAGAGATATAAAGCAAACTGTTATTATTGCAAAATTCCCACCAGAGCTTTAGGGACACATTATATTGTCTAATTGTATTTTAAGAAAGAGAAGCTAAGGATAAAGTCATAGCCTGGGACTCTGCGGAAGGCGAAGGGCGCGTTAATAACGGCAGAAAGGGTATGGCTGGTGTGCAGTCGATGAGGCCGCCTACAATAAGATTTAATTATGATTCGCTTGGTTAAAATATATCACGTCGGAAACCGACAGGCTTTGCAGTAGGAGGAACCATGTCTGGGAAGGCCAATACCGAAAACCAAGAGTACCATTGCTTGGTCATCAATAATTTTGCGTATGCATTTTAATAATAAAAAGGAGGGTGGGAATGCGTAGAAAAAAAATTAGAATTCCGATTAAGTGTAAAGGCATCTACGGCAAATGCAACTAGTTCCTGAAACCGAGAGACAATAATAGCGGATTTGGCATTGGTGCGGAATGCAAATAGATCAATCTCGGGTTGTCCGAAATGTCTGAAAATGGTCTGGAAGGCGCGAGAGGACAACTGCCACTCGGTGTCGGAATTAGTCTTCCTAGATTCTATATCGGCGCGATTATCTTTTGTATTTACATAATATGCACATATGCATACAAAATTATGTTGCGCTTTTCGCACCATTGCCAAATTGGTTTACCTTTAGGCAATTTATGTAACTGATCGCCGTAGTATTGCATACTCGCAACAATATAACACAATCAGATTATACTAATATAGTATTATATAAGAATACTGCAATTCTTAGTAATTGATATGGTGCTTCTTCTCAACAGCCTTCCGTTGGCCTCCTGTGCTACTCGCGCCACATACGGAATCTCAACCGGTGCGCAGTGCATCTGTATAAATTCTAATTTAAAACTTGAGGTTCTCATATACGATGAAGTCGACTAAATATTGTCTGTCCACCAACTCAAATCACTTAGAATTATATCTGGAAGATAAAATTGTTGTTTCATAGTTACCGTCATGTTTTTGAAGAATTAGAAATTGCTGAATTTCCAGTAATTTTGTATATAACCAACCGTATTTAGTGGCTGGGTAAGCTGAGATGAGGACCGGGGTAACCTTCAATGTGAGGTATCAATTTTAAGGCAATTCGATAGTCCTCCATTTTAAAATGAGTTTTTGTTACAAATTTGTTAAAGAACGTTATGTTCAGTATGAAACGACTACTACCGTTGCATTTTGGGCCTAAAAAAGTACTAGAAATGTATTGATGTTTTCTAGGACAGCACTTTGTCATTGCTCCCAAGTCAATTAAGTCATTAATTGTGATATGGAATTTTTTCTATTGTCGTCTGGCGATAAACCAATGCCGGGTATTACAGACTGGTGTTGGTACCTGTTTCCATAATGGTTTTGCTGACGAAGGTGCAAATTGGTTTTGCAGGTGGCTGTCGCCTAAAACCATTAACGATCTTCTTTAGAATTGTATTACATACGTAATTGAGTTTTGACTACGGCGTGTTTCGTTAACACTTATTAATTGCACGTATGTGGGATTTAACTCGCAGTTGATTTCTTATCGCAGTTAACTCGTGGTTAACCCCAACTTAATTTTATTTTAAATATACTTTTCTTAGAATAATATAATTATTAAAATCGGCTCGTAGTTGATGTCATTATCGCGGTTAAGTCACGGTTAACCCTGACGTAAATTTATTTAAAATTAACTTTACTTATTACCACGTAGGTACTAATACTGTTCAAATTAAAATCAACTCGCAGTCGATTTCATTATCGTGTTTAACTCGCTGTTAACTCCGAGGCAGTTTTATTATAAATCAAGTAAAATGCACATATTAATATATCTGTTCGGATTATGATCCACCCATGTTCGATTTGGTTATTGGAGATAACTCGCAGTTAACCCGATGTTTTATTAAATGTAGGTTAGATTCACATTTGCGATGTATGAAAGCGAACATTTATTATAATTGCGGAAGTAGCAAGTAGTGCTATATGATAAAAATGAATATTGTCATTTTTATTTTCATTACTTATGTCCGACTCGTTCGATGATATTATGATCCTATAACGCCAACGACGTTTGGCATTTGTATTTTCCAAGTATTTCAGTTTATTTTTATAATATTCGATTTTTCTAAGTTTGTTCGCTTTGATATTTTAACGGAGCTGTGGAGGTGTGCATGTTGCCACACACGAAAAAGAAGTGAGGATAGAAAATGGCGGTTGATGCCTGGTAGGGAGTGTTAAACGTCAAAACATTTTTTTTTCTCTAAAAACCGTGCGGTGTTGCCTAGCAAGCTAAGGAAACTACTTGGTTAAATATTACATCGAGAATGAAGCGACGAAATATAATTTTAGTAAGTAAAGTTGCCACAGTAGGACATCCATTTTTATAATATTTTTTATCATTTGTTCGACGCTGTAACTTGCTAATTATTACAAAAGCAGCCTAAACCGCCGCTGTGAACAGTCAAAATCTTACCACCCTTCCCGCGCTTCTAACGCGTGTTAATAAAAGAATGAAATTGTTTATTTTTAGTTTCAATGTAGTAGGAGAAGCTACGGTAGCAACGGTGTTACCCTTGCTGACGGGACGCACAGAGTGGGACTTTCCTGAGAGCAGGAAATCATCTGGCTGCAAGCGATTTAATACAAGTGAATTGATTTTTCACAAAGTGAAGCTTGATGGGTGAGCAAGCGAGAGATCACTAACTGTCGCATTTGTCTTGAAAAGGGCTTAACTGTTTTTCTATATGGTAGTTGTTACTGCAAAAAGAGTTCCTAGACATTCTAGTCTTGAGCTTTTTATGTTTATATACGTCTGATACAGAAGTGCTTAGTTGGTCGGGCACATGTGCCAACAGCACGCAAAGTTCAACATAGTTGAGCTCAGTCCGCATATTCCCTTTGTAAGTTATGGTTGTGTCAATTATCTCATGAAAAACCTCGAAAATCGTGGAAAATGCCTTATTTTGCTACTTTGGAGTGCAAATGATATCACCGTCATAGATAGTTTTATCACCGTCGTCTTATTTTATTTAATTTTAATATTTTTTATTTCCGTTTGTCGTAATACATTTTTCGTTAACAAGGAACGAGAGTAAACCTTATGCCGCTGCAATTTGGTCGACTTTTTTTCGTAAAGGTTTAATAGCGTCAATCGTTCGTCGTCTCATACTCTTTCAGCTATTGCCGCTAGATGGCAACACATTGAATGGAACTTATATATAAAATTAAAACGTCGTAAAGTCGTAAGAAACAATTTTAGGTAAGTATTGAACGTTCGACAATATACCAACTGCTTAAAGTTTAAGTTATAATAATAACAATCCAGAATTTTGTTACAACTTTTTACATTAGGAAGAAAGAAAATATATTTATTTACACAACATAAATGATTCCACACAAGAAAAAATAATAAAATAAAAAGAAACAACACATAAAAACAAACAATAAATATAAAAAAGACAAAAACACACAGAGAAAAAAGTAACATAAAATAAGAAAAACAAAAACATAGAAAAAAATAATTAAAAAACATTCCTACTTAAGACAAATAAACTAATAATTACGGAACAAAATCATAAATAAAACGAAAACAAAAACTAAAAAAATTAGAAATTGCGATCAATTATTATTAAGATTACAGTGTTTAATTTTTTGAATGTATGAGTTTTGGCGACAGGGGTACTAATCACAGAATATTAAATACGGTAAAAGTGGTTAGTTAGCGTCAAACGCATGCCAACTGTATGTCTAGGCTCTCTGTTGGCGTCATGAAGTATATTAAAACAAGCGCATAGGATATGCACATCACAGCGAAGGCGAATTGGGAGCCATTTTAACCGAGCGCGAAATTCGGAATCACGGTCAAACTTACAGAGACCGAAAAATAAATCGGATAGCCAAGTTTTGTAGGCGCTCTAGTTTATTCATAAGCTCTTCGGTTACATCTAAATAACAGACTTACATACGTACGGCATAGTCGAGTAAGGAGAGTAGAAGAGTTTGCGAAACCATAATTTTGGTATGAAAAGGGAGAAAGTATTGGAGTCGTTTGAGAGAGTGAAATGAGAAGTGCATTCGTCTGCTAACCTCGTTGACATTAAAAGTCCAAGACAATGTGCAGTCCATTACTAGACTTAGATTTTTTGCTTTGTCAGTATATGCAATTTGAGTTCCATCATATACCAACGCAGGTACCGATGACCAATACAACTTGCACCTTAATCTGCTACTGCCTACAATAGTGGCTTGAGACTTAGCAGGATTAACTAAAAAGCCAAACGATTTAGTTCAAAACTGTATGGCAGACAAATCAAAATTGATGGCCCCAATTGCTTCAGATACCTCGTCCACCTCAAAGTTACGATAGAGTTGAAGATCGTCAGCATATGGATGGAAGGGAGAAGAAATGACACGGGAATTATTATTAATGAAAATGAAAAAGATTAAGGGAGAGAGGACGCCGCCTTTGGGTGCACCAGCGGTTAAGTTAGACCAAGATGGCGTTCCATCATTGATTTTCGCGCACTGCTGGCAACCGAAAAGATAAGAAGAGAACCAGCTTAAAACAGAAGAGGGGATATTAATATACAAGAGGGCAATGACAGTGAGTCTCGTAAATCCATAGCACGATGTATGTTTTCCGTAATGTTCAGTAATGCTCCAACAGTACTATGAGATGGACGAAAGCCAGACTGAAACGGACATAAAAGTTTGTGAGAGAAGAGGTAAGAATAAATTTGTTTATGGACGATGGATTCTAGGGTTTTAGAAAGAATAGAGAGAATGAAATAGGACAGTATTGTGAGAAAGAAGCAGGATTCGGAATTTTAGGGAGAGGTATGACAAAAGCCTTTATCCATTGTGTTGGAAAGACATTGCGCGAGAGGGAAAAATTTATAATATGAGTGATAACCAGCGCAATGTCCTCCAGCACGGGAAGAATCATGTCGAGGCTCAAATTGTCACTGCCGATGGCCTTAGTGGAGATCGAGCGGACGCTCTTCTTTGCAAGATCCTCTGTGACTGCACTAAAAGTGAAAGGGGGACAATTGGGTAAGGCAAGATTACAAAGAGAGGTAAGAGAATTAGATTTCGTGACAAGGTTAAGAATGACGGGCGGAGTAGAAAAGTGGGTGTTCTGTGCATTGAGATCTATGCTGTTTTGGCAAACATCCAAGGAAGACTTGCCCACACCTATGGAATGTAGAAATTTCCAGACCTGAGCTTGGGAAATATTCTGAAAGGTAGAGTGAAAGTAGCGACGTTTAACATCTCTACACATTCTGTATCTGAGATTGAGTAACTTCTTATGGGCCTCAAGGTTTGCTGAAGAGGGTTCGCGTTTTAGACGGTATTTGTCTTTGTCACGCTTTGCCATAACTCTTCTAATCTCAGGCGAAAGCCAAGGAGCCGGCGTGCGTTTGACACGCACCGGCCGTACCGCAGCATGGAAATCATGAATGTTCACCAACTCAGTATTAAGGATAACCTTTACGTCAATACTGTCAGACACGAATAACACAGACCAGTCAATACAGCACATATCTTTTCTCAAACGATCAAGATCCATATGCCTAAAATTGCGCTAGAGAAGGGCCTTTCTTTTAACATTATGTGGACGCACTCTGTAAGAGAGATAAGGAAGTAATGGGTCGGTTTTTTTGTATTGAGCACGTGGAGACAACCGCTGACGTCAAAGCTGACACCCTAATGGATCGACTGTCATTATTGAGGAGACACGTGTTTAAGTCGCCTATAAGAATGACATGATCAAAAAGGGAAACTAAGTTTTCAAGAGTACTTTCCAAGATGTTAAAGTAATCTATTTTGTCATTAGGGCTATAGAAAACACCAAGCAGGATTTTTTTGTGGTGAACTACAACTGAAAGAAATAAATGTTCCAAAAATCCAGTGTACTGTAACTGAGAGCAGCAGACAACGTCAGCAGTGATGTGGCTGAGAAGGTAGATGCCAGCACCACCTCCCCCACAACCAATTCGGTCGTTACGAAAGGGTTTATATCCAGGAATGGAACAGCTAGGTAGCTTCAGCCAGGTTTCCGACACGAGAATACAATCAACTATGCCAGCGCTAAAAGACGTGAGAAAGTCGTTGTAGTGAGCAGGGATATTCTGCGCGTTGATATGCACTAAGGAAAGGCATTTAGTGTAATTATCATATACATTGTGAAGTTTATCTTCCAAAGGTTCAGAGTCTGAGTCTTGTGGTGTTCCAAATTAAGAATGTGTGAGTTCTGGCAACATCGGTTCTGATAGTAATCGAGGCTTAAATCTCTACAATTGTTTTTTTCTTCCGTGACGTCATGTTTGTTTCCAGTTACCGCACGGCATATTTCGAAGATCAACCGGATATTGGCACGTTTCAATTTCGCTTCAATGGTTTCATCGAGAGACCAGCTGACCATTACTTGTACGATTTCTATAAAGTGTTAAACCGCCTGAGATATCTGGATACTGGAGATGACGCATTACACTGCATTGGCGATATTCCAAAATACGAGTTCATAATGAAAATTACTGAACAGGTGACTTACTTTTAATAATATTTTTTAATGGTACCATGCGACGGGACAAACAAGTCGCGCGGCTGGTGTTAAGCAACATGCCTGTCCACAGCAATTGCAATGCCACTAAGAGCTTTAAATCGCAAAGATCTTAGGGACCTGCTGCAGTGCCTGTCGCCCTCTGACATAAGTTGACAAGTCCCATATGCCTGTAGCTACACCAGCACACCCTTGCTCTGCAAAACCGGAATGCAGCAATACGAGAAAGGGATACCTCCCTTGAAGTCTTCTTTTACAAGGAGCTCTACTGCTATTGATATAGTCCTAAGTATGCCTTTGTAGTATTTCAAACTGGATGGGAAGAAGTTTTGCTTCTCGTTCACCGCAAATCCAAGTCACGATGATTTCAACAAGATCACGAGCGCAGACACAGCGTTCGTTCGGTTTCTCCAGCAGTTCAGATCCGATGGACATCTCAGGAATACGTTGTTGCTGGTTATGGGCGATCACGGAGTCAGGTAATGTTATATATAATATAGATAGGCTCCAAGTCCTCCATAAAGTATGCACAGTTGATTGCAGTTTATTGCGATCACCAAATCGAACAAAACCTATGCATGTGGCTCATGGAAAACTTTTTAACAATTAGTCAAATAGTGTGTATTTCATAGGTAAACAAATTACACTTCAACAAATTACAAACCGTCATATAGATTAAACTCTAGAGTTCGTTCGTAAGGCAGATTCCCCTGAGGAGAATGAGCAAGAAACTCTAGGGGTTGCTCTTTGTAAACAAACATTTGCATACATTTATCATTTACAATATTTATTTCAAACATATCGATCGAGACAACCCGTAAGCGCTAAGCAGGTCGCTACCACGGATTTTTGTCATCCAAGTACGCAGAAGAACAATAACCTTTAGTATAAAGTTTTTGTTTCACTATAGTTGTAAATCTTATTATAGAAGCGTATACATTTGCCCCTTAAATGAATTTGTGACTGTGTGAAAATGACTGTCAAGTACAAGTGTTTCATTTTTATTTCTTTTATTAATATTAAGTCAGTCACTATTAAAAAAAAACTATTACATTTTCATAAATGTACTGTGACGCCAGTGTAAGTATGTAAATTTGGCTCTCAAAGACACTCTGAACCAAGATTCAAATTGCTCTGACCGCACGTTTCTGCAAGACAAAGATTCTATTAATATCGACGGCATTACCCCAAACCAAAAAAAAAACTTGTTAAATGGGTTTTCCATGGTTTAAAATAATCGTTCATTGTTTCAGTCGAAATTCTTTCTTACTTATACGGATTTACTAATCATAATAACATTTTTAAGACAATTAGTAATGGGACGAACAAGTCGTACATCTGGTGGTAAGGGACACGCCTACCCATAACAGTTGCAGTACCGCTTAGAGCTTCAATCGCAAAGATCTGAAGACCAATGTCAAAGCGCCCATGAACCTGAGACATATAGTTGATAATTTCCATGTGCATTTCGGAACGTTGAAATTGTTCACGTGGAAGTAGTTCCCTGGACGAATTCAGTCACAAAGAGCTCTACCGCTACTAACTATGTTCATATTTGCTAGATATGAAAAGGTTCGAGCCACTGTCCAAGGTAAACTGGAACACCGTCTACCGCTAATGGCTATTGTGCTACCAGAAAAATTATTAGCGAAAAGACCAGAAATAGAGTCGGCATTACAATCAAACGAAGACGTTCTTACAACCCCTTATGACATTTACGCGACTATATTGGACGCAATTGATATGAGGGAACATTGGAACCCATATAAAATCAAAGGTGCTCATCTCACTAGAGGATTGACTCTATTCGAACCGGTAAGTTTGGAGAAAAGTGTAACGTGAGGATATCTCCACAAAATGTCAGCTACCGATAGGACCTGTGGGACTTGCGAAAAACCCGAAATATTATTTGTTTACGCGATTTATTATTAATTGTGGCGAGGCGGTCATATAACGCAATTCCCATTGACTTAGTCTTAACATTTTCCACCTATTATCAAAAGACTGCACTAGAAGGCGCGCATACCCAACTATCTTGTATTCGAAATTTTCTAAATATTCAATAATAAATGCTGTAATAGGCGGGGGTGTAGAGGATGGTAGCGGTCTGCTCGACTAGCTGGCGTAGTAACCCTTATACTACGTGTAAAACGACGGAATTCGGTGAAGATGACTTGATTTATTGTACAGAAGCTTACAATACAAATGTGTCCAATACAAGGTATTCGTCCCGTTGGTTGCAAGCGCGGCGCAGAGTCCGCGACAAGTCCTGGTAGGTGCGAATCTTAACCGCTCACGCGATACATGCAGCCGTAGACGCATACCACACCTAGAGGTGCAGGTGATGATTTTATACCGATGTATCGGATATCGAAGTTATAACAGGTAAAAACACTAATATTAATTGCTATTTCGGTAACTACTCTAGCAAACCATAAAGTTTTTAGTGCCTGGGTCTGTCATTTAAAAAAATAAACAAGTTCATAAATACGTCACGACAATCGTGTGTGTTATTGTTTGGGCTGGTGATTTCGGTGTTTATTTAATGAAAACATACCGTAAGTAGCGTTTTTTAAGTTTACCCTGAATATAAATGTTTATAAACTATAAGGAGTCATTTCATGGTAAACGTTAGAACCACTCAAACGGAATATTATCATATTTATCCAAGTACACCAAAAATTTCATTAGTGTTTTTTAAGTGCAGGATTTGCGGTGTATTACTGCATTTTATTTGAGATATTTTTGTTGGTAGTACGGAGGGTATTAATTTAGCAATGCAGAATAATAATTTTTATTTATAAAAACTTGTATTTAAAGTGAATGCTTTTCTAATTTGCGAAAACAAACAGCCGCCATTTTGCGGTAGGAGGAGCGCATCGCGTGAGTAGTTAAAAGACACTCATTCTGAGGTGTTCTCGCAACTTGTCCCTAAAGATGGGCGCGAGTTCGAGACGCTTCATAATGAGGATAACCGTAGAAATGCAATAGTTGAATAGATCACAGGTAACTTACACAAGTAGAAGAATAGATCAGACAAATCAATCTCATACAAAACACTAGTGACAGAGAGAAAAATCATAACATCGCGATTCAGAAATTGCATTTTCTATGCTAATGCCATCTAGTGTTAAAAATCGGAACCACAGACATATATCTAGATATATATCTAGATAGATAGTACATTAATTTGTATGAAAACCGAGCGTGTCACATTCTATGTACTCACCATGACGTTACAAGAACTATTTGGTGACGGGAAACCTCCTTCCGCGCTAAATCGATTTATTGAACGGAATACACGTACCTATTCCATTCAATTAATCGATTTAAGTGTTCGTTGATTACAAGTAGTCGTGAAATATGAATATAGTAGAAAAATACCAAAACAATATAGTTATGTCCTTTATAAAAAGTTGTTTTAAAAAAATTTTTATTACTTAAAAGTTTAACCTTTAATTTTTAATCAACTTAAAATTATTGTCTTTGTAATAATATAAGTTTAATATGTAACTGTCTTTTTGTAATAGAAGATCTTATCGATTGGCTTAAATAATGAAAACGCACGTCAATATGTCAACTTGCAACGGCCTTAATTAAACTTACTAGATGGTTTTTCGTCGGTGATTGATCAAATCGGTGAATGGCAAGACAACTAAAACTGTTACTGCTGACAAAATAGGTTTACTGAATGTCGGCCTCATGTAAAGTTTTTGTGATTTGATCATGATTTCTCGGATCTCTAACTCTGCTACTCTGCGTATTTGGATAGCATCTTTGGTGGGATAAACTAGACCACCTCTGTTCTTGTTCTGAAGCGTAGAAGCGCCAACTAAGTGTTTTTCGATCGAGTGATTGAACGGAATACGCGTAAACACGCGTATTCGATTCAATTAATCGATTTTAAATAGAATAATTTTTGTTCAAGCATTTGTTGCTTACAAGTAGTCGTAATATTAACATAGTATAAAAATACTAGAATAAGATAGTTTAGTCCTTTATTTTACTTTAAAAAAAATGCAGACTTTACTTTTTAATCGACTTCAAATATTAAAATTATTGTCCTTCCAGTAAAATGAGCTTATTATATAACATCTTTTTGTAATACAAGATCTTATCGATTAACTTATATAATGAAAACGCACCTCAATATTTGAACTTGCGACTGTCTTAATTAATTTTACTAGATGGTTTCCTGTTCGTAATTTATCAAATTGAGGAATGGCAAGACAAATGAAAATGTTACTGCTGACAAAATATGGTAAAATCTTATTAATTAGAAGAGGTTTACTTAATGGTCGCCTCGTGTGAAATTTTCGTTATTTGTTTATTATTTCTCGAATTTCTAACTCTGCTACTGTGCATATTTGGACAGCATCTGAGGTGGGATAAACTAGACCACCTTCGTCCTCGTAGGCAACGATCTCATACGTATGACCAACTCCAGGTTTTTGTAAAGACAGCGCACTGTTAATTCTTTGCATAATAGTAATAATTAATATGTAATTATTGTCTCACTGTATTCGGACATTCGAGGCAACGTGCTGCAAAAATTATCGAAATTACAGATACTACTGATAATAGATACTACAAAACTGAAAAAAAAACCGAAACGTTATAACAAAAGAGCTATATAGAATATTGTTATAATATTGCTAGGGTTATAACAATTTTCATCCCTTTGTTTTCAAAATCGATCAGAATCGAGAACAGTGTTGCCTAACGTATACATCACTAAATGTTAAATTTGGCCAAAAAATGTACAAGCGGCCGTACCACAGAAACTGAATGCATTATGCAAAAGTGCGTTCGTTCGATATTCATGGCCTATTAACAAATGATCACAAATATATCGCACCAAGTAAAAACCGCAATGTATTACAAATCATGAGGCATACACTGGGTTGCACTGTTTCCTCGAAAGTCATACAATACCAAAATAATTGTTTTTAAAATAAATGCATCTTCTGATTACAAAATCACTTGCCCGTGGAAAGAGACGTCCATGTTTACCCGTTTACCCACAGTTATGGTGCTTTTATAGTTTATAATGGCACAATTACGCATTTTTCGCGTTTTCAACTGGTGTTTATCTACGATAACGGTCGAGCGCGTTCTGAAGTGTAGCAGCGATAAGTAAGTGAATTGCACTTACTTTGGGCAGGCGAAGTACGTACACTTGCGGCGTCTATCTAGATATATGTCTGTGTTCCGAACTATTCTTACTAAACACTAGGCATGGTTATTACCTAGGGAATATCTTAACATCGCGATTCTGAAAACATGTTTTCTATGCCAATGCAATCTAGCGGTAAACATCGCAACTATTGTTACAAATGTAGCTAAAGTTAGTGTGTTACAACGCGTAGTAACCTGTCGTTGATAATGCCGAGACCTATTGTAGCTGCCCTATGGATGTCAGCCAATCATAGCGCGAGTTAGCTGGCCTCTTATCCGCTTCTATTTCATTCGTTAAACCAACTCACTCGCATTTTAAATTCACGCACACTCTGCTGTGAAACATTGGTAATAATAGCGGCAAGTGTCGTAACGACGCTTTTTCAACGGCAAAAGAAATTTTTGTCACGGAAGGTGTTTTATTGTTTTGTTTAAGCTTTACAAATTACAAATTTTCACTCCTTGTCCACCACCGAGCCTTAGCCAACTTAACTAGATTCGTAATCGCCAATGCCACATGTACATAATGCGAAATTGATAATTTGTTTTGTAGATTCCTCGAACAAGATTATGTAGTGAGGCGGGGATAGAAACTCACTGGTGCGCTTGCATCCGCTGGGAGCCGGTTCCCCCAACAGATTCTAAATACCACCGTGTTGCTGCTTCCCTGGTCAATCATATCAACTTCCTTACGGAGCCTTTGAGGTATTATTGTTAATTATATGAAGTTGAATAACAGTACTTGGAATTCAAACAAGGGGATGCGTTACACAAATCACCTTACAAAACTGGAACTAATTTTTTAACTTGCTTGCGTGTTTTAGGATCACGTAATGCCATCTATTGGTAGTGCTCGGTACTAAATACGCCGTCGTGGCATAGTATAATGAAACCAGTAGAGTAACTTCATTGAAATGTACCAGCACATTAATTAATTCATGATTCAACATGAAGGCGAATCGAATCGTCCAGATTGTATTCATAATTAAAAAAACAGTCCCTTTCTGAGCTCCTACTTTATATCGGCCTGCAAGAAAACCAGTTTGGCAACATCTAAGTATAATAAGTCTACCATATTTGGCGATTGTCGCTAGTGCTGTGCCATCTGAACGTCTTTTCTCACTGGCTAGTATTACTCTAAATGAAAGTCATGACCGATTGAAGCCAAAAAGGCTGTCAACATATTTTTTTATCGATATTAATTTTTAAACGATTTTTGTGATATCGATCCAAGAGCATACGATTGAATCTGTGGATCGATTCAGAGGCATATGATCCGTTACGATCCAAAAAGTCCATGCAAAGCAAAGATTGTTCATCCCTATTTCAAAGTAGTTCGAGAATATTACAATAAGAATGGACAACCCTACGCTACCCAGGCGGGAGTTGCACTATGTACTATATTATGTATTGTGTAAACTACACCGCGGTTTATGCCACGTTATCCATGAAAACATATCTAAATAATAAGAACAACGGCAAAATCATAGTTAGAAGAATTCGTTAGCGTCTTCAAATGTCTTCATTTTCTTCTTAGCGTGTCGACTCTGTCGCTTATATTTGTGAGGACCAGAGTTACTCAGTGACTGACATAGCATTATCAGTAGCGTTGTACAGATTCTCGCGTCTGCAGGTGTAGGGGCACGCAGGACAAGACAAAAGATGTGCCATAGTCTGGGGAAAGATAACACAAATACATGCGCTCTCAGAGCTTTAACCCCACCTGTGCATGTTCTCCTTGCAACGGCTGGTCCGCAGTCTATTTCTTTAAATCAAGTGCGATAATAATAATAAGTGATAATGCCCAGGTGGGAGAAGCTCCGACAGCGGAATGAGTGATGCCGTGGAGTATCTCTCTTTTCAGAGATTTATACGGACAATGTCTTAAGAGGGAGCAGAGGAAAAATTCCTAATCTTCGATTTGATTTTAGAGGGGTATATCCACTTTAAGGTTAAAAATAAAATATTGTATGGGTAACGACACGATATATACAAGCATAGACATTAATCAGAAAAATAAAACAATAAAGTTTCCTCGATAGATAAAAATCACGAAATTACCTCTAATGTTCACATTTTTTCGATTTATCCTCGAAATGCTACAGGTTATTAGGACAAAAATTAGATAATTAATTATATTTATGCATGATCGACAACTGTCACTACGGATTTTTTTTAAATCCCTTTAGTTTTAGAGTTATTCCGCTAAAACGAATTTGGTACTTTTAATGCGCAAAATTCAACATCTCCTGTCGCATGTCACGCGAACTTCAGGCATATATTTGTTTCACAAATTTGGGCGGAGCCAATGTCAAAAGTTTTAAAAGAAAAGGCATGAGAGCTCTTAATTATAATTTCGAATAAAATAGATTCAAAGGTTTTTCAAATTAAAATAGCGGCATATCTAAGTCTGGAAATAAAATCATATTTAAAAGAAACTCTAATGACTAATTAGTATGTTATCAGTCTGATATCTACAGCTATCAGTTTCTTAACGTTGAGCGACATCTAGCCGCCAAAAAAGGAATTTCAGAACCTACGTATGGCTATGGTCCACATTTAGTTCACGTAGTATCAAATGTACCGATTTGTAATAAGCTAATAAAAGATTAACTTGTTCGTTACAAGAAATAAAGTCGATAATTTCTTCTCCAAAATGCCACGCGAGAAAATGATAAAACTGACAAAAAAGTTCCCAAAAATCAGGGACAGATGGCACGTTTCACAGAAAAATAATTTATGTCCGAGTTACTTGTGCAGTCTATGGTATGTTATTAATCAACTCAGTTTTTTTTTGTAACATTAAGCCTTTTGACCATACCAGTATACAAAATAATTTCGTTTGAACTTTCGTCACGTCAAAAACCCACGGCACCATTCAACTTCTATTAACTCTGTTTAAGGCTTCTGTAGTTTATTTTGACATAATAATACCTACACCGAATATATTTTATTCAATTACGTAACACATAACCTCCAAAACTTCAAACTGGAATATCTTTAATTACTGACTTCTCAGAAAGAAATTATGTCAACAAAAATTTACATGGGAATTTGCCAAAGTCTTTAAAATGTATTAATTAATCATTTAAATATTAAGTTCATCTCACAACGTACTAGATTTTGTATTAGCTTTTATTGCATTTATCTGATTGATCTTACTACGTTCCTTTTCAGAATGAAATGTGCAAAACGCAAGTTAATCTCGATCTCTTACGTGCTAGTATATGACCTTTCCAGGAATGCCTTGGAGCCGACGTCTAAATACCAACTAGAGGTTAGTGTTTACTCATACCTATACATTGATAAATCAAAAGCCACCACCTTTTTCCGGCTATTGGTCGAAGCAAACACCGGAATGCCCATCGCCGATGCCTGTGTTGCCATTTAATGTGTTTAATCGTCTAATCGATAACTATCTATACAAAGTTAAAAACAACCTCGCAGAATATTATTAACATCGAGTATATTACACGAGAAATAGAGACGAAATGTAATTTAATTTGTTTGAAAACTATTCTGCCAAATCATTACGGTGACAACTACGCTCC